TTCACTGGTAACTGATGCATCTTTTATATATCTTGTATCTGTCTGTCAACTTGTCTGCTAGGATATTTTATATAGTATCTTATTAAAATTTTAATTTTGCCTTTTCTTTATGTATTTATATAATGATGAACACCTGAGTTGCTTCCATATTTGTTAGCCATATTTAATCATTCCACATTGTAAACATGTATCAAAGTATCACACTGTACCCTATAAATACATACAATTATTATTTGTCAATTAAAACTAAAATTGAAAAAAAGATGAATAACAACAAAACTTGTAATATCTGGCAGGGACAAGATGTTCCTTTTACCTATCCTGTTTTTCCTCACGTCTCTTGATCAGTCTCATCTACTTATATTTTCAAATAAACTTCAGAATAATTGTATTAAGTTTTAAAACAATTTAGAATTCTGATTATCATTGAATTAAATGCATTAATTAACTTTGGAAGAAGTCATTTTAATACTACTAAATTTTCCTATTTAGAAAAATGGCATATTGAGCTCTTCAAATCTTTATGTATAGATAGATATTGATATATCTTCATCCAGTGGCCAAGATCGTGTGTGTGTTTTGTGCTTTAGTTCTGGATGTTTTGTTTTTATTTTTATTATTTCTACTGTGAATGGATTTGTTTTGGACTTTCTAACTGCTTTACGTCAAATACTACAGAGGAAAAATGTAGACATATTGATTTTGTAACTCATCACTTCCAGAATATACTTACTATTTCCATTTTTTTTTCCAGCTCATTTTGTTTCTGAGTAAGCAATCATACCTTTTGGAAGTAGTAATGAACTTCCTTATTTTTTTTTCTCATGATCTATTGTACTAGAAAATTCATAACAGTAATAGTGGTTTCCTTATTAATAAATGAAACTCCTTATATGATGTTGACCATTGACTTAAGATGGTTAAATAATTATATTGAGGTACTTTCGTCTTATATTAGTTATACTGAGTTTTAATTAGTAATGACTGATGAGTTATCAAGTGACTTATCGTTACTTATGGTTACCTCATTACTTTATTATTATTATTGTAACAACTTGGAAATTTGGTGGAGATGCTTGGGTCATCATCTTTCCTTCTCAAAGCTTGATGTTATGGAGGAAAAAACTAAGACCAATTGGATGTTTTCGTCTTTCTAGGTAAACCATTTTTTGAGTTGTTTTGTTTTCTGCCTGGCTACATCTAGAATATAAAAAGTTGATCTTTGAAATACTGAAATCTTATCATGTATATTTTCAGACAGTGGCATTTAGTGTATCTATTTGAATTACAGATTCAGGTCATCCATATATCTGGACAGTGTTTGCTATTTTGTCTCTGTGATTATTGCTTTTGTCCTATTTTTTAGGATAACTTTTTTAGAAATACCAGCTAGTGGTATGCTGAATCTCTATGTTTGGTTCCTCACATCTTTTATTTTGGCTCTATTTCATGTCTTTGATCTTTGACTCTGAATTCAGGGCAGGATTTCTGTGTTTGTCCTACATACCATTGGTTTAGTTTCTAAAGTGTTTTGTACCATTTCAATATATGATTTAGTTTCTCTATTACATTTTGTGTTTCCTTGCCGTGTTTTCATATCTCAGCAAGTCATTTTCTTGTCTGTCCCTTTTCTCTCAATTCCCGTTTATAACATTATCATATACTTTTTCCTTTAAATGTTTATTTTTTCATTCACCAAATATTTAAAATAACAACTCATAAGTTCTTTTCAGATTACAAAAGTAACATATATTACTGCAGAAAGTTTTGGAAGTACAGAAAAATACATAGAAGAAAATAAAAATGACCATTATCCCGCTAACCAGAAAAAAAGAAGTCACTGTTAATATAATGGAGTATTTTCTTCTAGTCAAAATTTGGATTTCTTTCTTTATATTTCTTAAACAAAATTGGGATTCTTTGGTATATATTGTCTTTCTTAATTTTTATTTTGAAATAATTAAAGGATGTTGCAAAAATATGACATAGAGTTCCATGTACATTTCACCCAGCTTCTTAGGTGCCATCTTGTATAACTTTAGCAGAATATCAAAACCAGGAAATTGACCAGTGGTAAAATACTGTTTTCTATACTACAGATCTTATTCAGTTTTCACCAATTATTTTACATGCATGTGTTACTGCATGTGTATGTAGGTGTATCATGCAGTGCAATTTTAGCCCATATGTAGATTCATGGAATCACGACTACACTCAAAATACAGAGCTGTTTCATCATCATAAAGGTGCCCCATGTTACCCCTTTATATTTCCAACCTGTCTTTATACCTTGGCAAACACTAATATGCCTCCTCTTTATAGCTTTGTCGTTTCAAGAATGTTACATAAATGGAATCATGGAGTATGTAATCTTATCAGATAGACTTATTTTGCAAGGCACAATGTCCTGGAGATTCCCGCCGGATGTCGCATTTATCAATGTATAGATAGAAGGGCTTATATTATTATTGAGATATTAAAGGACATTTGGGTTGTTTTCAGTTTTTTTGCTATTGTGAACAAAGCTACTATGAACATTCATGCATAGACAGGGATTTTCTGGTATTCACTGGTTTTAAATCCCCCTTTTAAAATATAGTATTCTTTTGTAAGCATGTTTCTATGTCATTAGTTTTTGAAAACATGGTTTATAATGGCTGTAAAATATTCTGCCATATGCATGTATCTCAATTTATTTAACCATTCTCCTCTAAGTTCATGTTTCCTTCAATTTTATTGGCAGTGTACCAGATGCTTTGTAGAATGTTCTTCTCTTTTTTATAACAAATTCTTTAAAATGTGTGTACTTTCTCTGTATTTTGAGTGCAATGCTCCTTTTCATTTAAATTTGGAAGTTGTTTCTCAGACTCCAGGTTGTTGGTTTTTTATTTTTTATTTCCTTCTTTTTAAAGATAAGAAAACATTTAGGCAGTCTTGGTGTCTGTCTATCAACACATGGAGTGGAGTTTTGGGTTTCTGGGTTTTTAGTGTCCATAATTGTTCACCTGTATCCTGTTTCATCCTCATCCCTCAGACCTTTGGTGAATGGCTGATGAATCCATTCTGCTGTTGGCCAGACTTCCGAAGCCTGGTGGCTCTATATTAAGTGTGGGCAGAGGAGAAATACTTGCCCCACTGATGATACAGTGGGAAATTATTCATGGATTATTTAACATGGTGTCTAGCTCTCGTCTCATCAGCACCAGCGCACTAAATCTTACCTGGCGTACACTGTTCCTACCACCCTTTCTCTCTTCCCTCGTTCCTCCCACTTCAGTTCTCACATCTTGCATCTCAGGTTGCGATAAGCATTCACTGTTCACTCTTTCTGTTGCATCCTCCACCGTGTCACAATGGCAGCCATCACAGTCTCCAGACCAGAGACGAGAACCTGAAGGCCCTTGCAGTAAACTGAGTCTGAATCTTTCATCTGCAAACTATGGGCTCTTCTGATTCTCTGCCCAATTACATCCCTGGTGCAATATATGCATTGATCCACTGAAGCTCTCTGAGACCTTCTGTGTCTTCTTCATTTCTATAATGTGCGAGGCAAAGCACTTAACACATACAGGTGCCTTAAATCTTATCCCGGGAACACTGTTTCTACCACTCCTCCTTCTCTCTTCTTCATTCCTCCCACTTAGTTCGCATGTCTTGCATCTCAGGTTGCAATAATCATCCACTGTTTACTCTTTCTGTTGCATCCTTCACCATGTCACCACTGCAGCCATCACAGTCTCCAAGTGAAAAGTAGTAAGAATGACAGTACTGGGGGCATTAGGTCAATAAAAGCCATGATCTCATTAGAATATATCTCCTACCGATCAGAGCTCTATGTGTCTCAGATATCAGGGGTCATGAAAAATCTATTACTTTTTTCCTTTCTGATCTTGCTGTTCTGCTTCAGGTGGCCAAGAGTGAATTCTTCATGGGAATTTTGTCTGGAATCTGGCTAGTGCTATTGCAATCATGCATGTTGGTGTGGTTTGAAATTATTTTAACAGAAATAAGGCACTGTAAAAAATCAGGTGCCTCTAGATTGCCACCCTCATTACCCAGGAATCTGTAATAGCTTTGTGATCTAAAAGAATGGGATTGGGGGCAGTGTCTTATTCTCCTCCAACTGATGATGAGTGTCATTCCTGAAGCACTTCATTGTTTAAAAAGCACTTTATATGCATTATCTCAGTTCATTCATCCAGTTTCTGAGCACCCGTTATGTGCCAAGGAATAGGGACAGAGTGAATGACACATTCCCCTCTTCCCCTCTTTTCCCCCTTAAAACTCTCCAATAACTTCACATAACACTTAGAATAATAATTCAGATCCACCCCCTTGCAGCAGGAGCTAGTCCTTCCTATCTCTCCAATCTCATCTCTGCACATTCTGTTCATTCTCCACTTCTCTCTAGTCTCAGAGGTCTCTGGCTGCTTCTCAAACATACTGAGCTCCTTCCGATCCCAGAGCCTGCTATTCCTTTACCCTACAATGCTCTTTTTCCATATTCATATAACTTGCTGTTTCTTGCCTTTCCAATCTCAGCTTAAAAGTTACCTGCCAGAAAGGTCAAAACATTCTGCTTTAAATGATCAAATATTGGAAACAAAGCATTCTGTCCCAACCAAAGCATTGTTTGTGATCAGTCAATCAGTTGATCAATAACTAGTAAGTTTCCCACTCTAAGTCAGGGACCATATTAGATACTGTGTAAACAGTGGTGAATGGCTTACATGGCCCCAGCTTCCTGGAGTCTACATTATTTTGGCAGCCAACAGTCTTCTAACAGACAAGACCTCAACAGAAGATGGGCAGGAGAGGTGAGATAAGATGATGTCAGCCTGAAAAGGAGGCTCTAATGCTCTAAAAATCCCTCTCCAAGAACTCCCATTTGTTTCCCCCCTTTGATTTCTAATATGCTCATTATGAGCTCAGATTCTCAAGTAAAAAGGATTAATTTTCAAAGTGACCCAGAGGCTCTCCAAGAACACCATTAACCTTACCTACTTAGGAACATGGCCCGCTTCCCAGCTCCAATTCCAGGAGTGATTCACCTCATTTAAGTGATAACACAAAGGCTCGAGCACATTGGCCCTGTGTTTGCCCACAGAATGTTGCCAGGGAAGCTCTGTTTGATGTTTGCTTTTCCCTTCCTTGTGAGGAAATTGACTAGGGCTGGTTATCACGGTGACACCGGAAGCAGAGAGCCTTGCCTGATGTTCCAGGGGAAGGTTTTCTTTGTTCTTCCTTCTTGATGAAGGACGAGTGACGTGGGTAGGGACAAGGGTGGGGGTCCAGAATCTAAAACAGGCAGATACCTCTATTTGAAAGGCCACTAGCTCTGGTTTAAAATCCCAGTCCTTAGCTGGGCATGGTGGCTCACACCTTGGGAGGCTGAGGCAGGAGGATGCCTTGAGCCCAGCAGTTCAAGACCAGTCTGGGCAACACAGAGAGGCCCCTGTCTCTACAAAAAAAAAAAAAAAAATTAAATTTAAAAATTAGCTGAGTGTGGGTGGTGTGCACCTGTAGTCTCAGCTGGTTGGGAGGCTGAGGCAGGAGGATTGCCTGAGCCCACGCCATTGCACTCCGGCCTGACTGACAGATTGGCCGTTCTTTTGCCAAAAAAAAAAAAACTGGGTAACAAGAGCAAAACTCAAAAAAAAAAAAAAAAAAAAGTAAAAAAAACAAAACTGTTTTTAAATCCCAGCCCAGGTGCAGCAGCTCATGTTATAATCCCAGCACTTTGGGAGGCTGAGGCGGGCAGATCATTTGAGGTCACGAGTTTGAGACCAGCCTGACCAACATGATGAAACCCCATCTCTACTAAAAATATAAAAAAATGAGCCAGGCCTGGTGGCACACACCTGTAATCCCAGCTACTCGGGAGGCTGAGGCAGGAGAATTGCTTGAACCCAGGAGGCGGAGGTTGCAGGAGCTGAGATGGTGCCACTTCACTCCAGTCTGAGGGACAGAGTGAGACTCGGTCTCAAAAAAAAAAAAAAAAAAAACAAAAAACCAGCCCTGTTATGAGTAAGCTATGTAATCCTACCAGGTTACTTAATACTTGTTAGCCTCAGTTTCCCCATCAGGGAAGTCTCTGAAAGGTTAAAAAAAAAAAGGTGCTAAAAAGGAAATAAAGTTATTCTTTTAAGTGCTAAGGACACTATCTGCTACACAACAGGGTAATCAGTGTTTTCTAGTATTATGGCTACTGCTACCATTATCCTCATTACCATCATGATCGTCATCGGCATCATTACCACCAATAGATTCCCAGTAGCATCTTTGTAAATGGAAAAACCATGACAAAGAACAAAGAGAATAAAGTTCAAATTCTGACTTTACCATTTGTGAGCAAGCCTAATGCATCCTTCTCAGTTTCTTTATGTAAAGAATGGAGACAATAGAGTCTATTTTTCAGGGTTTTTAAGATTCAGTGAACATAGTTAAATGAAAGTATTATACATATTATAAGTGCTTAAGACAAATTAGTTGAACCTGAACTTCAATATATATCTTGCAGTAATATAGCCTTTGATTTTAGGACTGCTTCCACTGCTAAAACTTGAAAGGACCTTCCTAATTAAAGAAAAAAATAAGAACATTATCCTCTCCCAAATAGTGAAAAGCAGAGAATATATTACAACATGCTTGAAATAAAGTTAACCTTCTGTTGGCTTCTCTGACATGTAATACTGTCATCACCACAATGTAGTGTTGAGCAGTCAGCTGGCCAATCAGCAGACATTTGTTAAGCACCTTCTAAGTGCTAAGTGCTTTGCCTGGTACACTACAGAAGGGAGGAAGACACAGAAGGTCCCGAAGAGCTTGAGTGGATCAATACATACATTGCACCAGGAAGAAAATTGGGCAGAGAATGAGAGAGCCTGTAGTTTCCAGATGAAAGACTCAGACTCAATTTACTCAAAGGGCTTCAAGTTCTGTCCTCATTTTATTTTATTTATGTATTTATTTATTTATTATTTTTTGAGACATGCTCTTGCTGTGTTGTCCAGGCTGGAGTGCAGTGGCACAATCATGGCTCACTGCAGCCCTGACCTCGTGGACTCAAGTGATCCTTCCATGTCAGCCTACCAAGGAGCTGAGACTACAGATGCATACCACCACACTAGTTTTTCTGTTTTTTTTTTTTTGTTTTTTTTTGTTGTTTTTTTTTTTTTTTTTTTTGTATAGTTAGGGTCTCTCCATGTTGCCCAAGCTGGTCTCAGGCAATACACCCACCTCAGCCTCCCAAAGTGCTGGGATTACAGGTGTGCAGCGCCACTGTGCCCAGCCCTCATTTCCCACCATTGTTCAGCCAGCACCCAACGTCCCAGCCAGCACACTGCGCTGTGCTCTTCCATGCCCCAGTAACTGTGCTCCTGCTATGGTTTCTGCCAACACCATCTGTTCCTAAACTTTCTTTGTCTCTTTGTCGTCACAAGCTCAGCTGCAGCCCCGCATCTTCCAGGGATACCCTTTTTCACTTACATCTTGTGTGTCTACTATATTCCTGCCATATGAAATTGACATCTTTTACGTTAAAGTGGTTGAATATTGCCAATGTAATTTGATTTCACCAGACCCCTAGTACCCCATGCATGCCTCTTTTACACGGTGCACTGCAGGGGCAACACAGGCAATGCCACACACATGTGGGCTCCAGAGTCTGACTTCCTTTGTCCAGTCCCAGGTCTGCCGTTTACCTGCAGTGTGACCTTGGGAACGTTACTTAACCAATCCATGCCTCAGTTTCCTTGTTTATATAATGAAGACAATATAATCTATCTCATAATATTCATGGGGGGTTACATTAGTTTGTTCCCACTCTACTAATAAAGACATACCTGAGACTGGGTAATTTATTTAAAAAAGAGGTTTAATTGACTCACAGTTCCACATGGCTGGGGAGGCCTCACCATCATGTGGAAGGCAAAGAATGAATGAGAGCCAAGCAGAAGGGGAAACCACTTATAAAATCATCAGATCTCATGAGACTTACTGACTACCATGAGAACAGTATGGGGGAAACCACATCCATGATTCAATTGTCTCCCACCGGGTCCCTCCCACAACATGTGGGAATTATGGGAGCTACAATTCAAGATGAGATTTGGGTGGGGACACAGCCAAACCATATCAGGGATCAAATGAGAAAAACACACATAAACATATAGTCATACGTCACTTAACAACAGAGATACATTCCAAAGAATGCATAGTTAGGCTGGGCACTGTGGCTCAGGCCTGTAATCCCAGAACTTTGGGAGGGCAAGGCGAGTGGCTCACCTGAGGTCAGGAGTTTAAGACCAGCCTGGCCAACATGGTGAAATCCTATCGCTACTAAAAATACAAAAATATTAGCCGGGTATGGTGGCGTGCACCTGTAATCTCAGCTAATTCAGGACGCTGAGGCAGGATAATCACTTGAACCCGGGAGGTAGAGGTTGCGGTGAGCTGAGATCATGCCATTGCACTCCAGCCTGGGTGACAAGAGCGAAACTCTGCCTCAAAAACAAAACAACAAAAAAAACAAAAAGAATGTGCTGTTAGATGTTTCGATCATTCTGCAAACATTGTAACTTTTACCTACACAAACTAAGATGATATAGCCTACTACATACTCAGGCTATCTGGTACAGCCTGTTGCTCCTAGGCTAGAAATCTGTACAGCATGTTACTGTATGAAATACTGTAGGCAATTGTAACAATGATAAGTAAATATTTGTGTATCTAGACATGTCACACATAGAAAAGGTGTGGGAAAATATAGTATGATAATCTTATGGGACCACTGTTGTATATGCAGTAATGTATATGCAAGTGGGTACTTATAGAATCAGCTATTAGGCATGAGAATAAAGAAGCCGTCATATGAAAGCTTCCGAGATGATGGAGAAAAATGCAGCATTTACGTTGAAGTGTGACAGTGGGTCAATAACAGTTCATAATTAATAACTAAAACGTTGTCCTTAAATATACATTTCACATTCTTTGACATAAAATTGTAACCAATTCCTTGTTTTACATCTTGAGGAATTTTGATATCCTTTGACCATATATATTTAATTGGAGGGAAGGATGGTTGGGAGGTAATGCCATTAGGGGCTCAGGTGGGAAGAGTGGGGAAGGAGGACTGTGGAGGCCCAGTTCACTGGCTAACAAACCTTCCTGGTGATACATTATCTTCCTGAAACATCAGATGAAAGGGTTTAAATGGGCACTAGCATTTATTACCTTGGATGTGAGTCATGTTCAAGTATTAACCTTGTTAAGAGTTCTCTTTGGTCACATTGAGTGAGATCCCTTGCTTTAAAAGGGATTCTCCTTTCTGATTCCAAACTGCCCCCGTCATCCAGCACTTTCCCAAATAATTACATTGACTCAACCTGAACTGTCTTGGCCCACACGCACATGTAGTCAGTCCTCTGTATCCGAGGATTACACGTTGCAGATTCAACCAACCACAGTAATAAATAACCAGAAAAAAACAGATAGCAATGTAACAATGAAAATAATGCAAACTTAAAAACAATGTATTATAATAACTATTTACATAGCATTTATATTATATTAGTATTATAAGTAATGTAGAGATGATTTAAAGTATATGGAATGATAAGGTTTGGATGTCCCAGCCAAATCTCATGTTGAATTGTAATCCCAAATGTTGGAGGTGGGGTCTGGTGGCAGCTTTTTGGATCATGGGGGCAGATCCTTCATGAATGGCTTGGACCATCCCCTTGGTTGATGAGTTCTTGCAAGATCTGGTCATTTAAAAGCATATAGACACCCTTCGCCTCCTTCCTGCTCTTACATTGTGAGACCTTCTGTCATGATTGTAAGCTTCCTGAGACCTCACTGGTAGCAGATTCCTAGATGATGCTTCCTATACGCCCTTCAGAACTGTGAGCCAATTATACTGCTTTTCTTTATAAATTACCTAGTCTCAGATATTTTTTTGTAGCAATGCAAGAATGGCCTAACACACAGAGGATATGCATAGGTTATATGCAAATATTATGCCATTTTATATACATGACTTGAGCAACTGCAGATTTTTATATGTGCCAGCATCGTGGAACAAATCCCT